TTATTATTCAACTTAATGGTCGATCTACCCTAGTACAACTGTTACAAATATGTAAGAAACTAAAAAATTTCAATATATTAAGTTTTAAATTTTAAATTTTTTGATTTTTTTGAATTTTTTTTGAATTTTTTTTTTATTTGAATTTATTATTATTTATTTTATAAAAATCTACAAATTTTAATATTATATTCAATAAAATTCTTAATTAATTATATTTTTCAAATAATTATATTGATAAATAAATTTTTATTTTAACAATAATTTTATTATTTTAAATAAATATTAGTGATTTAATATTATTAATATATTGTAGATTTATCTAAATGGTAATAACTTATGTCAATAATTTTGTTATAATAGGTTATAATTAATTTACTATTGTATAGATTTTAATATAATAATAGTAAACATTTATTTAAATAAAATTTTGTATTTAATACTTGTTTATAATAAATAATAATAATTGTTTTTATTATTTTATTAATTATAAATATTGTTTTTAATTTAAAATAATATTTACATAATATTTTAAATATATTTTTACTTATAATAAATTAAATTAAAATTTATAAAAAAATTTTTTTTTTTACCAATTGTGAAATTTTATATAAAATCAGTATATTTCAAATTTAAATTGTTACGAAATATTATTTTTTATTCTTATCACAAAATAATTATAAGTAAATAAGTAAATGCATGCAATATAAAATATATTTTTTTAAAAAAAGTAGTTATTATAATAAAAAATTTAAGGCTTGGTTTTGTCAAATCAAAAATCAAAAATTTTAAAATATGCAGTGCATACAGTACACAAAAATCCGGATTTCGTTAAAAAGATGTGTTACCGTTTTCTAAAAACAATTTTTGATTTCCGGCATGAAAATTAAAAATGGTTCATTTTTGTATAACTTTTTCAATGAAAAATGCCAATGAAAGTTATTGTTTATATTTGCATATCAGTGGGAATTATTTAATGTACAATCTTTCCCGTTACAACATTGTGTACCTACACTTTCGCAATCGTGACATACCGTTTGATCTGAATAATTCCGTATACAGCATGTGTGTAAGTTCCCGCCTGTCCTGTTAGTGTCGAAGCAATTTGTAAAAAAAAAAAAACATATATATATAAGTGATCAACTTTCTAAGCCATAGAATTTATAGAAACCGCCTGCACCACGGTAAAACTTTTTGTTTACAAATAAATGAAATACACTTGACCAATTCATTGGTCACTGGATGTCTGATTCACCTCGGACATAAACCGAGTGCCTTATCAGGTACGCTATAAAAATCCTAATCCATTCAAAAAAGACTTTTTTAAAGAAATTTCCTTTTCTTACTATTCTTTTTGGCATACTATTACGTTTACTATATCCCCTTAATAGTAAACCAGGAGCATTATTTTTTACGACTAAGAGATTCTGCATCGTGGATTGAAAATATAAAGCCCACACAAACGATAGTTGAAATTATAATCGATAGACTTTGTGAAGTTTTGATAAATAAATATATATTATATTGCACACAAGAATGTCTGATCCAATAGATTCCAATAATCAAGAAATCAAATATAAAGTACCTCCTGTTCGTTGGTAGGATCATGAACCGATTCTTATTTATGTATTACAACCATCGTCACTTTATCGATTGTTCAATAGATTTAAATTTCTTCGGAATCGTTTTACTATTCGATTATCGATTCGATTCTTACAAATTATGCGCTTTTCAAAAAATTCCAATTTGAAAAAATAGGTTTCATGCAGTGGATGTTCCAGCATGGGATCCCCTAAAACGACCTACACCGAAACAACCCACCCGAACCAACACCAAAATAAAGAATCCCAAACAAGAAGAGGAAGAGGAGGAAGAGGATTGCCCAATGAATTGGATTCCATTTTCAAAACGCGATTCAACCGCGCTGGAGGCTGCTTTTAAGCTGAAAGTAGCCGGAAAGAAAGTTAGCTGCAACGAGGATTATCTGTTCGAGGTGGATTTGGATAATAGAGAGATTAGCCCGGTATGTTTTAAGAGACATCTACATAGTAGTTGGATATTGGAATACCACGAAGATTGTATTCACACAAATATTTACATGATTTTCTTGATTCATTTAAACTTTATTTTATTCCATGGCAGATATACTGGATTGGACCTGTGTATCAAGTGGTAAGAGCCACCTGGTTCTATCAGGCCTATGGCAAATTTATACCATGCGACGAAATTTTATCGGAGCAAATCGAGGACGGTTACAAGTAAGTGTTTGTGATATTTATTATATAACATCCGAAAGAATTAATGCACGTACATACTGATATACGTTATATGATAATTGGTAAGGAAATATAAGGTATGGATCCCATTACCAGAACCAAGCAATGAAGACAAGAAATCCAAGAAGCAAGAATTAGAAAGGAGTTGGTACCTCACAGAAAAGTACGAAGGGCAATACGTGATATATGCAAATCCCGCGAAGGCCTGGTTGTTGATGTGAGTTTTCTTTTTACAAAACTGTCATCTTATATAAAAGTGATGATATTGATTATTCCTATTCTTATTATAATAAAGAGACGACAT